CCGATCTGCCTTCCCCTTATGCCCAAAAAGATCATTGTTTCAACCAATGTAGATCCGCATCACATCCTAATGTGCGGTGTGCTCCTCGTCTGGCGAAAGTAGTTCTGTATAGGTTCGCAATTTAGGCTACGGTAGTTTCCTTTTTTAAGGTGGTTTATTGTTTATTAGGATCGTAGGAATTGTTTAAGAAGGCTTAAAAGAAAAGCTTAGAAATACCAAAAAGTCTCCTAACAGTAGGACCATACAGCGCTGACTTTGTACTACGATTACAAAACGTGCACTAATATCAACCTAGACTTCAATATGGAGTCGTACATGAGTCAACTGGAAAAAATACTACTGTAAAGGCTGGAAGCACTGGGGTTCTTGTTTACATGGCCTAACTTACTTTCTCTCATATCAAAAACAAGCCTAGAGAAAATTTACGCCACAGGAACATTTTAGGGTTAAAATGGTGAAAGCGCCCTAAAGTAAGTCTAAAACGTCTTATACGTTTACTTAAATTTTTTTTTCAGTACCCCTCACCCCTGTAGCAAATCTGCAGACTAACTTAGGTGAATTTCCATTTGCCTGATTTGATTTTCACTTAAATGTAATTATATAACGTTAGGTTTAACGAGTAGCCTACCTGGGTTTGCTGCCACAAGGAGGGCAATAAAGAGTGATTTTTTAAAAATATTAACTTAATAGCTTTTTTTTTTTTTTTTTTTTTAATAGAGGGCCAGGTTTCAAGTAACCATGGGATTGCAACGCAGCTAGAACAGCTTATTGTGCACCCTCATTCACAGGTCCTCATTCTTTGTCAAATCCCAGGTCCTTTGTGAACCGTGAGATCCTTTTGACAATGGTGATCCGTTCTTCCCTTTGATCTCCAGTCGATAGGCCAAGGGATCTCATGCGCAGACCTTGTAGGGCTGGGCACATAAATATCACGTGGAATGCTGTCTCCTCCTCCTCTCCACATTTCCTACATAAGAGGCTTTCAACTTGAATTCCCATCTTGTGTAAATGTCCACGGAATACCCAATGGCCGCTAATAAAGCCAACCACCTTCCGCAGGGTCTTCCTACTCAGCCCAAGGGCTTCTGCCGCTATCGCACCTGTAGGTGCCTTCAGCATTCTCTTTGACTGTACATTTCCTTCTGTTCTTTCCCAGTTCCTTTGATGTTCTATGCCCATCCACTGGCGAACAGCTCTCCGTGCTGTGTTGTAAGCAATACCACACGTCGGCTCTGGACCCATGAGCGGGCTTTCAGCTCCTTTGTTTGCCCACTTGTCAGCTCCCTCATTGCCAGCAATACCTTTGTGCCCTGGAACCCAACTAAGGATGATCCTGTTGGTCTTTCCCAGGGCTTTCATGGCTTGATGACAGTCCCATACAGCCTTAGAGGTAAAGTCGAAACTGTCAAGTGCCATTAGTGCTGCTTTGCTGTCTGAGTTCATGTATATAGTGTGGCCTATAAGACCGCGCTTCAAACACACTCTCGCACACTCAGACAGGGCCACCACTTCTGCCTGGAATACAGTGGCCATTTTTCCCAAACTTACGCATAACTGCACTTAATAGCTTAGTTTAAAATAAATAAATTTTCCAAGATTTATCAAAATCATTAAGCGCTAACAATTACGATGCTAGAATTTATTTTGTAATTGATCGAAAAAATGCTAGAGTTTTTAAACTTACCCTAAGTTACTTATTTTGTCAGAACATCAATAGGCTTGCAACGGGGACAAAGTCTAACTTAGTGTGCGAGAAAAAAGTCGGTAAAAATAAAACTATTCATCTCAAAAGTGCTACATAAGGAACGATACATTGGGCCTCGATCGTACCTATGAGGAATCAAAAGAAACCATCGCTGTTTCCAAACAACCGAGTCAACCGATGATATGCCCATTTCAACTCACACGATTGAAAGTCGTGCTAGCACAATATATCGTCACTTAGCACTATTCGGATGAAACGTGAACAACGATAACTTATGTCGTTCCATTGCACATTACGAGAAAAATACACGAAACGATATATCGTCGTATAGCACTAAAATGTTTAACTTAACAAGCAAACTACTATAACTTGAAACAGTTTCTCCGTAGGCCTAACGAATAACCATTCTCACCCTACAAAACATTTTTAAGCTCTTTAAAATGGTTTAAGAGAGAATTTGGGAAATTTTATGTTTTTAGGGTAAAAAATAGAAAAAAAAACCTATTTTCACCCGATAAAACCACACTTTTATGGTCCTAAAAAAGCTAATTCAACTCGTTTGAATAAGTTACATATTTTAACACGTTAGTACCAAATTTAATCAAAATCAGATGATTTTTGCGTGAGTTATCGTGCTTACGAACATTTAGGCCCTAGCCTATAGGCTAGGCCTAAGTTTATAAATCTATAAATAATTATGAATTTTAAGGGTAAGGTTAACTTATGTTAAATTAATGTTTTTGACCTCTGGGGACATCAAAATTAAAGAGTAAATCGGTCCAAGTCTTACAATGAGACCTATTGTAATAGCTTCCTTTGGGAAATTCGCTACTGTAGGCCTAGGTAAGATTGGGCAATGGACACAGGATAATGCCACCAATGTTAATTAAGTTATATTGCTTAGGTATTACAGAAAATCTATATAACTAATCAACACCAACTTATTATAAGCTAATTATACTAATTTACCCTTATAAACAAAGTATATTTTTAAAATTAAGCACAAAAAATGTATACTAAAACTTACTAAACCCGGACCAAAACCACAAATTTGCACTAGGATAGGAAAGGAACAGAGAAGAGAACTAAAATATAAAAATAATTAATAATTAATTGTTACATTTTGAGCTAGCTAATTGGAGCCAAACAGGAATCAGCCAATGGGACCATGGGACGTTTTTTACTCCAAGACGCTTTGGATTGGTCGAGTTTGATCAAAGTCTTAAAACCAAAATCGTCTGGAATAAAAAAATGATATTTATTCAGCCATAGACATCCAATTCGATAAACGCATTGGATAAAGTAAGTCTAAGTCCATAGATTAAACATACTCTATGATAAATCTAGATAAATACATGGATGTTGCTAGCATTAAAAGCATATTATTAATTTTACAACACAGAGAACTAATTGACCTATCATTTTGAGATCTTATTTTTTACATCGATGTATAATATTTTTTACTGTCTGAAAGAAAATACTCGAGAGCTGTAACTTAACTGCCTTTACTTCCATTCAGGCTGTAACATATCACGCTGTAAATTTCACACGCTACACGCAAAATTTGGGTGGCTTCCCATTCCCAAGCAACAGCATACGAACTACAATATGCGGGGGCGCGTCAAAGTGCCACTACGACAACCAATAAGACGATAATGTTGGATTGGAATTGGCAATTTGACGTGGTGACTCATTGTGATGGTGACCGGAAGCGTGGACCCACCACTACGGCCACCTTTAATATAGTTTGTTATATATGGTTTTTGTTACATATATTGCTTGCCTCAGGGTATCATAAAACACAATATTTAAAGCTATCCCAAGGAAGAAATAATAAGCATTTACTCTACATCAAGAATGAGCAACACGAAATCTCTATGAAAAAATCATATGGATTTGTAAGATAGAATAACATGAGTGTCAGCACTTTTCAAAGTGAATTATATTAATTTACCTATGATATTATTTATTTATTTTATTTCAAATGGACATCTTCATTTTACAATATACAAATAAAATAAGTATAAAACTCAGGATGGCTGATTACATTGACTACGGATTATACTAGTAATCACATTTTCATTCTTATTTTAAAATCTAAAATATGTTTTAGTGAATTTCCCATATTGGGGATAAGCTATTACCGTAGGCCTCATGGTAAGACCTAGACCCGGGACTTTAGGGGCTTAAGACCTTGGGGGGGGGGGGGGTTATGGGGGTAAAATGGGGTTTCCCCATTTTTTACCATAAAAACAAAAGATTTTGCAATTTCTTTCTAAACCATTTTGTAGGCCTAGACCTTAAAAATGAAATAATTTAGTATATTAATTGAAGCGCTGTTGAACACCTAACGGTCACAGAGAAAATTAAAAAAAAAACGCAATTAAAAATTCCCATGTTATTCTTATGGAGTAAATGAAATTTGTTGTCGTTTACTTGTTTATGAATGTATGTTGATAAAATTTGGCAAATTTATTTATTTCATCCTATACTATTGACCTATGGTCAAAAACCTGTTTTACCTTCCCCGTAGCAAACCTAAAAGCTCGTTAAATCTAATGTTATTTAAATTGGGAATAAGTATGTCTTATTTATGGAAATATTTTGGTAAAAATGTAATCAGACAAGTTGAAATTCGCTTAGTCTGCAGGTTTGCTGTGATGGGGGTACTTATTTTTGCAATGTCTACGGCTGACGAGAGACTGCGTCGATGGGTAATAATAAATGTTTCTTTCTCATTCGAATGTAATTTTCATGATTTGTTTGTACTTAACTATTTACTTTCGGACCGAAATATAATTAAGATTGCTTTAAGCTGATCCTTGAGAATGATTAATTTACGAGATATCATTGAACATTATGCGTAAGGGTTGCGTAGTTTTAAGTCATTATTACAATGGAAATTACAATTTTTTTATAAATAAATATAGGTACTGACGTCATTAACGCTCATTGAATTTCAGCATCGACTATATACCACTAGTGTTTTATAGTCAATGATACTAAAGTAATAATGACTTAAGGTAACTCTAATGATATTAGAGTTAAATTTAATTTAAAGAGTAATTTTAAAATAACCTCTTGTAACTATAAATATTAGAATAACTATTATATGCCACACAATGTAAAAATTTTCAAGAGCAATAAATAAATAAATATCAGCCATCGCCGAAACTTAGCCTACTATCCCGAAGTTTCGAATCCGGGTTTCTTCTTCTTTGAACAGAATGAACAGCTAGAAGAATGAATAGCCTACTTTCGTTGTTGAGAAGTTGAAATTGAAAGTTGAAAATAGTGCGCCAATTTTTTAATCTCGAGTTTGTTTGAAATTTTTTGTGAATAGTTTCTATGCCCTTTTCAAAAACCACAAAACTACTAATAAAGGTAATATTAAAGTTAATTTGGTCCTATCAATCATATTTGATAAGAATAGTTTGTTGGTACTTCTTTATCATTTTCAGCGTCCTAAATCTCGGGCGTCCTAAACCTCCTAATCACCCTAATGTTAATTATTCGTATGTAATGCTATAACTCAGAAGTTTGGATTTTGGAGATTATCTTAAGTTGTATGCCTATTTAGCTATGGTCTACCGATCTGAATGACAAAACCTACTTAAATTATGATCAAACTATTATAGCAGGCTATAGGCATATACAAAATTATTCTTATCTAACTGAAATAGCCTACCTAGGTTTAGCTAAGTTAGGCCAGAATCAAATTTAAGTTACCCTACATCATGAGCTACGGGCCTTTTGAGGGCCATTTTTATATGGATCTTCTTTAAATAAGGGCTACCACTTAATTTGGTTTCTGCAAAGATGGATTAGGCTACAACTAGGCCTAATAGCCTAACGTGACGAGAAGCATTGTGTACAACAGATAGGGTTAACAACTTTTACATGATTTTGATAGTTTAAAAATGTAACTTACAAAATAAGTAGGCCTAATGGGTTCATGAACTGGTTTGAATTAATGTAGGCCTACCGAGAATTATACTAAATATTAGCTTATTGAAATACGCGGATTTTTGCTCTAGTTAGGCCTACTGGTATTGTGTTAAGTTAACGGGAAAACACTTTAAATATAAATATATATATATACATACGGTAGGACCTCGATAGTTCGACACGGGCTGTGATGTCGTGAATGTAGGTAGCAGCCGATGACGGGTTCACGAAGAAAAAAAACTTTAGCATAGGCCTACTTATTGTTTTCGTACTCGCAAAAACTCAATACTCGAGCATCTCATTAACTTTTTTTCCTAACATCCAAAGTAAAATGCAGTTGAATATTAAAACAATTTTATACTATAAGAAGACAAAGAATGTAGCCTATAGTAGAGATGTTAGGCTACGGCCACACAGGCGGTTTTTTTTGTGCACTAACGCAGCGTGAAAAAACACATAATATGAGCAGTATTAATTATTTGTTATTTTAATGGGGCACACACAGTGTGTTTTTCCGCAGTAGGGAGCGTGTGTTCTTTTTAATGCCGCCTAAATATTTTGCGTGTTTCCACATAAGCATGAAAACGGCCCTGTGGCCGTAGCTTAAGGTGATAAGTTTTTAGCAGTAAGTAAGTAAGTACCGAATTTCCCATATAGGGAATATAAGCAAATTTTCCATATGGGGAATATTACCGAATTTCCCAGGGAATAGCTATTAGGCCTACTCATGGTAAGACTTGGACCCGGGACCGATTTGTTTTTTAATTTTGATGTCCCTAGAAGCCAAAAAGACCATCCGTTCAAATTCACATGTATCTATCTATACAGGGTGGTAAAAAAGTCCCAGGACAGTTAAATATTTTTAAAAAATAATGTAGATATATAGCTACAATACTTGGTAAAAAATTACAGGGCATAAAACTCTATTTTAACACATATTCACTATTCAGTGATCCAATAACTCTTCAGGGGGACGGCCCACAAGGAGTCGGAAGAAAATCTTAAATGGAAGCATAGGTCAATATGCACATCAAATTAAAGGTCTTTTTTAGTAGAATACAATGCCGCAAACCGCACTTCAAAAGGTTGATCCTGGGCAAAATGGCATATGTTCAAAGATTTCTTGAATCCGCCATTTTGAATCTTTGAACGACTGCCATTTTTTACTCAGACATTCTTTTGAGCATGAATTTACGGTATCGTAATCTACTAGTGAAGATCTTTAATTTGATGTGCATATCAACCTATGATTACGTTAACAATTTTCTTCCGATTCCTTGGGCTGTGCCCCCTGTGGAGTAAGGGTATGATAGCAATGTAAATTAAATGAATCTTTGAACAGCTGTCATTTAGCGCAGGATCAACCTTTTGAAGTGTGGTTTGCGGCATTGTATTTTACTAAAAAAAGACCTTTAATTTTATGTGCATATTGACCTATGCTCCCATTTAAGATTTTCTTCCGACTCCTTGTGGGCCGTCCCCCTGAAGAGTTATTGGATCACTGAATATGTGTTAAAATGGAGTTTTATGCCCTGTAACTTTGTACCAATTATTGTAGCTCTATCTGCATTATTTTTTAAAATATTTAACTGTCCTGGGACTTTTTTACCACCCTGTATATATAATATATTATATTTAAATATATGTGCCCGTTAGCAATTTAACTCGATAAAAAATTATCCGATCTCAAAAAAATTGGCACAAACTTGTAAACCTACATTTATTCAACGAGTTCACAAACCAACATGATCGGACCATGAGAACGGGGTTTTATGGGGTAAAAATTATTTTTTCTCAATTTTGACCCTCAAAGCTTAACAATAACATTTCCCAAATTTTCTCTAGACCATTTTGAAGAGCTTAAAAAAGCAAATAATAGGCCTATAGTATTGAGGTGTTCCTGTATGATTATTGGTTACAGAGAAAATTGTAGATTATAAATTCCCATGTTCCCAAATTCCCATGCTTATGGAGAATAAGCAAACTGTTGTAGTTTGCTTGTTTATGGATATATTTGGATCAAACCTGGCAAATTTATTTATTTTATACTAAACTATTAATATTTTACTAAAAAACTAACTTTATTACCCTCCCTATAGGCAGCAAACCTTGTTAAACCTAATGTTATTTAAATAGATGTAATTGAAAATCATTTCAGGCAAATGGAAATTCGCTTAGGCCTAGTCTGCAGGTTTGTTGCGGTGGGGATTTTTTTAATTTTTGTAGAGTTAAATACTATTCATTCAATTTGTTTGCTTTTTCTCGTGTTTTGAATTTACCTCTGTGTAAAAATCCACTACAATCCCTTACTTATAAGTAGTTTGACATTATAGTATCTAGTTTAACACCCTCCACAAAGTTTTGACTATCGAGGTTCTGCCTTATATGAATTTTAACGGATGGTTTTTTTTTACCTCTGAAACATTTAAGTTATAGTGAAAAGTAAAATAGTCCTGTGTTTTTTAATATGAGACCTATTCCCTATAATGGGAAATTTGCTTGAAACTAAACCATTACAAGAGAAAGATGTAAAATACCCAGGTATTTGTAACCACGCTTAAATAAACAGGTAATTTACCTCATGTAGCATTTAAGTCAGTGTGTGTAGCCTATAGTTTACATTCAAATAAAGTTAATCACAATATTGTTAAACTATTGCATATAACAAAAATTATTTATAAACTTGCTATTTATAAACTTATTCTTATAAACTTATTGATATTTTACAAACTCCCTTAGAAGGTTTTAGGGAGTAAAAATTGAGTTTTTCCCATTTTTGACCCAAAAAACATAAAATTTTGCAATTTATTTCTAAACTACATTGTAGAGCTTAAAAAAATAAATAGTTTAGTGTATTGAAGGGTTGTCATGGACTTAAGGATTAAGGAGGAAAAAAAACTGTAAATTTTAAATTCCTATATCATGTTATTCTTATGGAGAAAAGTAAATCGTGTAACGTTTACTTGTTTATGAACATATTTTGATCAAATTTGGAAAAACTATTTATTTCATACTATAGGCTACTATTAACATTTAACTATAAAAAACACTTACAATTACTTTTCTTTTAGAAGCAAACCTAAGTACTCGATAAACTAATGTTATTTAAATAGGGAATAAATATGACATTTGTAAGGAGATATTTTAGTCTAAAATCTAAACATGCAAATGGAAATTTGCTTAATCAGCAGGTTTGCTGCGGTCAGGGTATTCAACATTTCAATGGTAGGCTACTGTTAGTGTGTGAGTGAAAATTTAAAAACGTACGTTTTCATGTCCCTGGCCTTTTACTTTGTATATACTGGATTTGTAGTTTATAATTATGTGTTTTAATATTTTTTGGGACGGTGGCAACATGTTACACACATTTATTTGGTTTTAAATAGGTTCTAGGTATTTTTTTCAAATTTTTAAAGTCTCAAAATTCACGACCATGACGTGTCCCTAGGGTACATTTTTCAACTTTCACGCTGTTTTTAGACTAATTATTCATGCCGAAATATATAAAGCCATATTTTAATGTCATCAATGGTTATTAAACTTACAAAAAAGGAGCATATTATAATTTTATTGTCATTGCAAACTGACTACCATGACAAAATAAGTCTGTCCCTCGATTTGGTGTCACGACCATTTGGGAGAAATTTTCAACTATGGAGCACGACGGTGGCAAGCCTGGCTTCGATGGAGCCAGTTGGTTTTAGAGACTAGTTCAGGGTGTACGTCAGGATTGTAGTGCCGGTCGTTTCGAGTTGAAAGGAGGAATTACAAGATTAATAAAGGAAAGATTGTGTTTTTTGTAATTTTGGTGTGTCCATGACCGTACGTAGTCATTCGATGAAGTAGACATGGTGTTAATTTTGGTTTATAAGATATCATCCAATTATCTTAATCAGAGGTGCCCATCCCCCCCAAACCCAGAGGTGCAATCCCCCCCCCCAAGCAAAAGGAGTAGTCCCCCCCAATGTATGCTGCCGTCTATTTAAACCTACCCTCTCCTCACCAATTTATCTGACAATTTTCCCTTTACCTCATAAAACAAGCATTTAAAGTATTTAGTAAACTTGAGGTACGAAAAACAAACTTGCTGATAATCAAAATTAAATGTTTAATATGAAACGTCATTTACACGCATCATATAATACATCAATCACACACAACACAATCAATACACACACACACACACAACACACACGCTCATACATCAATCGCTGTCGTTAATAATACATCAATATAAATCTAACTAATGGACGAAATAAAAGTTTTTAATTCACAATTCAGAATCTGTATTGTCAGCCAATATGTGTGCTCAGTATTGCAATAGACAATGTCTTCAAAACGTACAATATGGGCCACTCGGTGATTTACTCTACTCCAAAACAGTACTGTAACTGTACAATATATTAGGTGGCATTAATTTTAACCGGGCTTAAGAATTCAAACAGCTTTAAGTGCATTAATAATACTTTGGCAAAAAGTATATTGTTTCACAATTATAGGCAGAGTCATGAAATAAAACAGACTTGTTGTTCGCCACTCCCAGGCTGCCTTCTAAAAAAGTCGCCGGGCAAAATACCCTCAATAGCTCTTAATTGCCACCAGTACAAAAGGTTTTTGTGACGAAGTAATCTTATAATTCTTTTTGATAGCCCCAGGATTGCCTTTTATGACTAATAATGGTAGAAACGCATCTTGTCAGACAATCCGTTTTTACACAAAACACGAAACAATAACAGATAGGCCTATCAATTCACGCGTGTATATATTGCCGCGGGCAGGACTGAAAGTAAACTGAATCAAGTAATGATGGAAAGACGTGGTCTCTGGATTGGTGTTTGTGTTATTAAAAACTGATATTGGACTAATTCTAGTGACGGAGGAGAGTGTTGAAAATATAATGGGATTCATAATTGATTTTTCCATTCAAAATTATTGACAATAATAACCAATTTATATGCTGGATATAAATGATGGTCTCGGTCTCGATATTCTACATTACTACAGAAAAGGAAATTTATTAAATACTTTGAGGAGTTTGAAATATACATAAAACTATTGGCAGTACAAAATATTTTAGTGAAAACACTCAATTAATTATGAATCCCATTATATTTTCAATACTCTTCTCAGTCACTACAATAGTCCAATATCAGCTGTTGAAAATGCAGACGACAATCAAGAGACCACGTCGGTCCGTCATAACCTGAACCTGATTCAGTTTACTTTACGTACTTCCAGTCCTGCCGACGGCAATGTAGGAATTGACAGGCCTATCTGTAATCATTTCGTGTTTTGTATTAAATGTTTGTCGTATTCTGACGACACCTCCAGAAGTGGATCTTTTTTAAATCCTGACGATGGTGGAGTTAAAGAACCACCAAAACATATGTAGCAAGTAAAATTTGACACTGGTATATTAAGGATTGTCTGGCAAGGTCCGTTTTTACCAGTCTTAGAAGCTATCTTAATTATGAAAGGCAAAATGTTGTTGGTGGTGATAGTGAGCTACTTAGAAACACTTTTTCGGGCTGCTTATACAAAATTATACATTCATTATGACAGCTAGCAAAAAAAATCCTCCCCAAAAATCTCAAAATAAGAACCCCCAAAAATTCCTGTGGCGCAAACACGCCACAGTACCCCCCCTCTGGGCACCCCTGATCTTAATGTTTAGAGTATTAAATATGTTATTAATTTCTTAACAGGTAAATTATTTGCTCAGCTCAACATTAACTTATGCATTCATGTGGATATTATTAATTACTTATAGTTTAAATTATTAATAGGCTACTATTATTTGTACTAACAGCCGTGATACTTAATTAATGGCATATAATTATATTACATGGCTGTAAGACGTGAGTAAATTGCTAATATACTGAGTGGTCATAAATCATTGGAGACATCTAAAGATTAACTGTAATTACATGAACAAGAAACTTTAAAAATGGATATTGTCTCCTTAAATAATAAATAACAAACCTTGTAAACAAGTAACATGAAATTGTTAAATAATTTGAATCAAATGGAAAATAAGTTAAATATAGAGTATTTATTATAAAAATAAAACATAGAAGAGGGAAGTAATTTTCTTACAATACATGTTAGTTCTTTAATCAGGCAAAAAATCTAAAACACTCAAACAGATGGGATGATTTATCTGTTTATTCATGCAGGGGTAAATTCTCCGAATTATGGAGCTGGGCTGGATAGAAACACCAAACGCCACACTACCAAAACTATCTATCTGATCAGGCGCGCAAACAGAGGGTCTATCTATCCATTCATTCACAAGTAGTTTTATCTGTCTCCGGCAGCTCCCCACCCCACTACTCTATAAAACCAAAGAATGAATAATCCAACTGAAGACTATCGGATGAAAGCGAAACCATCGTCGGATGAATTCAAACGACTGATTTCAATCATGCGACATTTAAACATCTGATGGTTGAAATCGGTCGTTTGTCCCATCACTAGTGCTCTGCTGTCCACAGCTCAATGGCTACTAAAAATGTCCGCATGTAGGCTTTGGACTAACCCTATTCCCACCACCCTCCACCTCTCGACATTGCGTCAAAGAAAACCGTCAGATCATTTTGCCACTCCCTATACATCTAAAATACTAAATATTGATTTGTTCCTTTATTTGTTCACGTACCAATGCACAATAAAGAGTTAAGTTAATTAATGTTTACTTTTGTAACTAATGACATAAATTCTCAGTTGTAAATTACAAATCACATATATTTTTAAATTATTCTAATGTTGTCTTATGTCTTAAAATTTCTCATCCTTACGAGCACAAACATTATGTTATAACTGGTGAAGCGATATTATAATTGAGTTCAGACAATGGAGAACATTTGGCTTAAATTCCCATAAAACCATCATTTTACACATATTAATCTCATTTACCTTTTCTTGTGGACAGAGAGTATCCCACAACACTGGAAGAGCCTGGGGAACTGTATGCTGAGGCGATATTGCATTATAGGAAGGGTGGATTCAGGGTCCCGGCACCAACCGATGCTGCTGAGGCTAACAATGATCTTTGGCACATCTAGTTTACACTTAACATACAACAAACTTTAGATATTGTATCGGATACACAACTATTATGTAAATCATGTTCTTTGTTCCCTTGTAGTTCCTAAAAACAATTATTAATTTAAAGTAAAAAAATATATTAGTTTTTAATAATTTGTTTCAGATTTAAAACCTTTGCCACACCTTCATTGGATGAAAAATCAACAGCAAGAATAACCAACTTCATTGTCTGAAATGGATAACATTTCTAAAAAATTTTTTCAAGTTTGCGTTAAACAAGATAAGCTCCTACCACAAGCTCAGGGTGAGTTTATGGACACCTTCCTATCCGAGATTTTCAAATCGGACATAAGCCAAGGAGTGTGTACGCCCACTGCTAGTCAGGAGCCTCTCGTAACCAATGAGGGAGACGTTGAAAGAGCTGGAGATGACCAGAATAAGAGCGTATTCACTATGATGGAGGAATATGAAAAATCGTACAATGAAAATGATGATTATTTCTTGCCTTACAAATATTCATTGTTGCAGTCGAAACAACTCAATGCTTGGGAAGAATCTATTCTTCAAAGTCAACCAATGTTTCGACCAAAAAAGATTGGTGTAACTAATACTGCTACTTATACAATCAAACTTGAATATATTAAGGATGTAAAAGAAAATGTTCTAGTAGAGGCACGATCGGTAGGCAACATAAATTGTCAACAAAAAAAGAATGGCCAAACTAAAACCAGCACTAACGATCCAAGAAATCAAAATATTAGGGAAATGAAAGAAAATGTTTCAATAGAGGCGAGATCAGGAGGAAACAAAAGGTCAGTACAAAAAATGGTTGACGAAACCATAACTAGCACCAATCAATCTGGAATTGGAAACCCTAAGAAAGCAAAGCATGTTTCGCTAGAGGAAAAATCAGGAAGAAACGTAAAATCCAAACCAAAAAAGTGTTGCAAAACCAGGAAGAGCACTGATAGGCCTAGAAATGAAGTTGATAGCATCGTCCGAGATCACTTATATTGTAAGAACTACTCCTATCTCTAACTTACTAGTCACTGCCCTATCTCTATCTAACATTGTATTGATGTTTTAAACTATGTTAGGCATACCGCAACCAAAGAGCATACGGTAATTATGAAATAATTATCGTATGGATAAACTGTGATTGTAAAAAAAAAGTTTTATAGGTTAATTGTTCAAGAATTTATAATTGTTAATTTTTTAAAAGTTTTAATTTTAATTGTTAGTTTAATGTTAAACTTTGAAAATACTATGTTTGAAAATTTTTTTCAACTAAACTACCTCTTCTAAGGATCTTGTGATAATTGTAAAAAACATAACAGAATTAAAGATTGTTTTTAAAAACTTGTTCTTCAAAGCTTTATTTTTAACTGGTCTTGCTAAACATGAAAGAAAATACCACTAAGATTTTTGTTTGAATTATAAAAAAAGACTTTTAAGATTCCTTCACCCAGTGTGTAAGAAACCATAAATAATAATAACTTGCCCCTTGCAGAAAACCTGCAGTCAACGGGTACTTAAACTTGCCTGGTTCTATTAATGAGAAAATACAAACAAAGTAGACTCACAACCATAATCCATACTTGATACTTGAACACTGCATCGGTGACCGACAAAGTCGGAATAGATTTTGTCACAATAATACTATTTTTTATTACTATACTAAGATGGCGGCGGGTTGCCAACAAAAAGTGGTGGGTCGGCCAGCTCACTTAGTGAGTATAGAGGTCTGCCCTCCAGATAGTCTCTCAGGGTGTCCTTGAAGGCCCTAATGTTCAGCTTGCGCACTTAAATTGGTAGTGTGTTATAGAGCTTACTTGTGTAGAAGGGGTAGCCATTTTGAGTCCAGGCTAGTCGGCATCTAGGTAGGTCAAGGAGATGGCCATGTCGAGTTTGATAGGAATGCTGGTCCTCACGTCGAGGAAGTTTTGCTGAATTTTCTTTAATTAGTACCATGCTATTTAATATGTACTGGCTGTAGATGGTCAGAACCTTTAGGTATTTAAAGATAGGCCTGCAGACGGAGCCCAGCAGACGTAATCAACCTCAAAGCCATCTTCTGAAGAATCTTCAAGATGTCGTGCGCTGCAGCTGCATGACCCCAGATTGTGATGCCATAGCTTACGTGGCTTTAAAAGAGAGCATGGTACACTGTGACAAGTACGGTTTAGTGATGACCAACACCAGTGGCGTAACAGATTTTTACGGACACCCCGTGCAAACTTATTTTTTGGGCCCCCTCTCATGAGCTATTTTAGACCACCGATACAACATAATCAAACACCCTCCCCCTCCCCACAGAGTTATTTTTGGACCACCTTTACAATTATCAAACAGATTAGTCATAAATAGAGTAGTAAATAAATTATGGATTATGTTCCATAAAAGGGAGTGTTAAGTATTTAACTCATGGTTTTATCAAAAAGTTACATCACTACATCATTATAGCGTTTGTAAATAGTTTTGAAATAAAATAAAAATTTCTATTTTACCATCCGTATCAGAATGATTATATCAAGGAGGTTTTACATTTAATTTATCACACATGTTATCCATTTTTGCTATCCTGATAACTAGACTAATTTGTTAATTACAAGGCAAAAATGTGGTTCGGATTCCTCTATAAACTGTAGGCCCCTTGAACAGCTGTGTCTAAAGAATATGTCTGCCTTTTTCACTATCAAGACTACAAGGTTGCGCCACTCATCCTACACTCATCTCCATTCATACTTGGCTTGAAATACCTTCATTCGTATGGACGCCATTTCAAAATAAAGTATTAAAGTATTTATTTAATAGGTTAGTTTAATCTTTGATTATAATTAACACATACACTAAAAGTTGGTTAATTTAAAAGATTGACGTACTTTTATCACAGGCTAAAATAGCCTATTGCATTTTTTAATTTTATCTTTGTATGGATTTCAGGTGTTTAAACATATATGTCTATAGTATTGGTTAATTGTGACGTAAAATAAGATATAAGCTAACAAAGTCAGCAGAGTAGCAATATTGTATTTAACGAAATACAATCAATATCGGGGCAAAACTAAAATATAAAATAATACAATATTAATAGCCCCATCTCATGACCAGAAGCTTTTCAGAGCAGTTCATGACTCCAGCTCCAGGTAAATTAATGTTTCAAAATGTTTGCAGACGACATAAGCAGTGTACGAAATCACTGAGAAGTGATTTTCCCGGTGACGAAAGTAAGATTGCATAATAATCAATGACCCACGTTATAAAAAGTTAAATTTGTTACTTTAGTTCGTTATCACTAAAGACTAAGAGGCCTAAAGTAAGAAAGAGGCCTAAGGAAATTAAACGATAACATCAAATTATTAATAACTTTATGTTATTACTTGTTCAATACAATTATTGAATGATTGATAGGTAATACCATGGATAAAACATACTCCCTTGGTAAATTTCCCATCCTTATGGAACAGTTGAAGGCAATTTTATCATTAGTTCTGTCCGGTGTTCTGTAGATGTCGTATTTTGTTAAAATTTGTTTATTGTTATTTCATTAATTTAATACCTTGTTTAACCAAATAAAACTAATCTAATCATAATAAACAATAACTCGTCCACTAGCTATATAACCAAACAGCGAGACACAAATAATGATAAAGTAACCCTAAAATAATAGAAACAAATTGTAAACAAAACACGACATCTAAAGAAAACCGGACAGAACTAGAACTAACAATAAAATTGGCTCAGCTGTTCCATAAGGATGGGAAATCTACTAAGGAACTATGTTTTATCTATGGTAATACATTTGAATAAGAATGAACCCAAATTTTTCAGACCCACTTGTCTCACGGGCCTCTCTACTCACCGTTTCCCGAATCCCGCTCACCGGTTCGCGGGCCCCCTCAGCTCCCGGGCCCCTCGCATTGCGGGCCCTTTTGTTACGCCACTGACCAACACAAGTTTCTTTAGGAGATACACCACTCTGGCAAGCTTGACACATACCTGGCTAATGTGGTGTTTCCTATCTAACCTGGATTCAATGCAGAAGCCAAGGAGTTTAACAGCTTCCTCACCCAGATAGTTTGGCTTGAGTGTGCACAGCAGTGATTGAGTCTTCTGGTCATTTATCTTTAGCAAATTCTGGTTGAACCACTCCTTTGCACTAGCAAGAAGACATTCCGCATCAGTGCGTAGTTGGCTTATGTCCCTGCCTCTCTTGATCAGAGTGGTGTTGTCTGCAAATTGTAAGGTTTGATTGTTTAAGGATAAATCATTTATGACGATAGTAAAGAGGTGCCATAATATTAATACCAGGCTTCTTATAAAATAATGATGAAGTTCAATGATTTAAGAGCTAGAAAAACATTAACAATAAACTTATTATTTTTAAATTATGACATGATATTTCAAAGTAGTATCTAAGTTGAAACACTCAAAAATGCTACATACAACCCTATGTGTTTTACTGTTTGACGTTGCCTATTACTGTACTAAGTTTAATGGCATTAATAAATTCTTATTGAGTCTTATTCTTATTATTTTGTTATGATTTTTACACTTCAATGGGGTTACATTTTGTTCCTCATAAAAAATCAGTTTAATGGCCGGTTTGGCTCAACATTAGGTAATGCACACATTCCACATGAAAACAGTATTTTAAACAAATTTCAATCAGGTTTCCATCAATCTTACTGAAACTACTCTGTTGAAGATCACTGATATCATACGCCTTGCTATGTTTCGTAGTCAATGTACAGTAATAACATAATTTGATTTTAGCAAGGCTTTCGATACAGTGAATCATGAAATTCTTCTTACCAAACTCAAAATAATAGGTTTTTTCTAATAGTTCATTATCCTGGATGAGATCATATCCTCATGGCCAAAAGCAGTGTGTGTCTCATGACAAAACTATGTCTGACTAGAGGCAGGTACCAATTGTGTTTTTCCTCAAGGATCAATTGGCCCTTTACTTTTTACTATCCCAATTACTTTTTTATTCCCAATTTAACTTTTTTACCAATACCAAGGCTAGAAAAGTATGCAAAGAATCACAATTATCAACAAATAATTTTTTTATAAAATTCCAGAATCATTTAAGTTGTTAGATTTAAAATCATTTCAAAATAAGATTCATGGTTGGCTTATTAGTCACAAATTTTTTTCTATAAAGGAATTTTTAGAATGTGATATAAGTATAGTGTAAACTAAGTGTTGGGTCCTTTATTTACTATGAGTATTCGAATGTCTTGTTGTTGTTGTAAGGGTTTTATTGACTTGTTTAATTATTTTGTTGTTACTAATTTTAATCTATATTGATTTTACTCTAATGTTATTATTATTATCTTGGTACTGTCTTTCAATGAATAACTGATGAAGCCTATTGTAATCATGTATTACTTGCTGAATAAACTTCTTGATTCTTAATTCTTGATATCTACATAAATGACATCAGCTCAGTCTTACAAGACACCAAGTTTTATTCTTACGCTGATGTCTTACAAGTGTACGCTCATTTTAAATCAGTGTGGCCAATGAAACAATTACTTCGATGAATGACGACATCAACAGAATTGTGGAGTGGACAGCAAAGAATGGACTCAAACTAAACCTTGACATAACCAAACCAATAATCATCATTGTCCACGCCATCAACTCAACAGACTTGATAAACAATTTTTACCCAACATCACTGTGAACGGTAATGTATTGCCATACCAAGACAAAGTTCCCAAGTAGCACAAATTGTTGGCCCAACCATCATTGGGAAATGGTGGGTGGAAATTTTAACGCCTTGCCAACGTATCAAACTTGTATTCGTTTTTCCTACAAAGGAAAGAGTGGTTGGGACTTTGTTGGATTTAAGTATAAAACATACTAAAACACACTTTAACAAATTGATTGATTTTTTAAGAAAATTAATGCTATGACAGCTTAATATTAGACGATTTTGGAGAAAATTGGATCTATAATAATTGTAGTCAGATGATGTTGTCAAAGTCAAAGTCAAAACATTCTTTATTCATTGTTTTGTAGCGTAAGTACATTGAA